CGCCACCTCACCCGTCCCCTCCAACCTCTGCATGCTACCCTTCTTCCTTCTCCTCTGTCCTCCTCTCTTCCTTTTCCATTTTCACTCTTCCTCCTTCACGCATCCCTCTTCCACTCTGTCGCTCTCTGTCTCTCCAACCCTCTCGCGCTTCTCGACGCTCCTTCTCCACCCTTTTCTCTCCAACGAGCTGAACAGCGAGCCACCACCCAACCAAGTCGCGTTGAAGCCCGTTTTCGCGCGCGGTACTCGGTGTGTTGCACTCGCCGCAACGCGAGCAGACGCGCGCCGCTCTCGGCAAGCAGCGTGGGCGGTTTTGCCCCGTTTGCCGGAACCCTCCGTTCCTGGGGCTGTACCCGGTTTTCGCCTCCTCCTGCGTGCCTGCGGACGTACCCTGCACCCGCGATTGGTACGCACAACTCACCCGCCCGTACGCGAATCCTCTCCTGCACCTGCCACGTTTCTCCCTCTCTATCAATTCGTCTGTTTCTGTTACCTCTCCTCGTGCTATCTCTCTTTCTCCCTCTCTCACTTTGCTCCTCTATTTACCCCCATTCCGCCTGCGCGTATTCCGTTCATCTTCGTCCACAGGTTCTCGCTACACTCTCTGGACCACTGCCCTATCTGTATTCGAAGTTGACCACTGAGAACGTCGCCGAGGTTCGGCTGCGGTTTTCGTCCTCGAGTTCCTGGCACGCTCGTGGCCGAACGAGGCGCAGCCGATATTGTCGCTCGTTCTTCACCCGCCCCTTCCTTGATACTCTGCCAACCACTGCTTCCTCACGATGTTACGACGAAGAAGGATCCATGTATTTCTAGCTGAACTTTCGTCCATCTTCGACTACCGAGTGTTAGAGTTTAGGTATTATCCATGTCTGTCGCAAGAGCAACGAGCTTTACACCCCCGGTTTTACGATCGTGGTTCAATCGTGATCGACAAAGTACGCGTTGGTTGTTCAGCAATCGCTTATCTGTATGTGTCGGAGCTTGGTGCGAGTGTAAACACGGGGTGTACCGGATCAAGGTCCTCGGAGGCAACTGGCGAAGGGTAACTAACTTCCGATACCCGTTACTTCTAATATTAACGACGGGTGAAGGAGGGTGCTGATGCCTCGTTAGCCTTCGTACATCGTGTTCCTCTTTTGTAAACTGATGCAGTCCACGATGGATATCGATTTCTAATCGCCACGGCTTGGCGTATGGCGTGTGGCTGATCTTACGTGCAAATTTGGATAAGAATTGGTCCCTTTGCGATCTCTACGCGATGTCGTAATATCATGACATACGTTTGAATCGACGCTGCTTGTCATGAGAATAATGCTCTCCAAAGGAAGATGTAAGAGAGGAAGATGTTAGTCCGACGGAATTTGCGTGACTGGAAAAGGGAATTTTCGTATTATCTCCATCCATTTTGGAGAACCTTCACGTTTAAATTCGCATTCAGGCCAACTCGGGCGTATCTCGACCCATCCTCGCGACATTTGGTTGTATACGCTTCGTTATAACAACTCGTATTAATATCAGAATTACATCAGTCTGTTTATCAGGCTTGATTACAACCACATCCGAAAAGGATTAACAAAGATCGGGCTTTCAGGGCGTTGAATATTCGCGTGTATCCGCGAAGAAACTGTACTTCATCCGATTGAAAGGCTTGTATTGTGAATCCCTTTCAAAATGAACGACACAGGGTTCTAAAGATTGAAATAAAGTGTATACACCGTCTTGACTGAGGATTGTACCTCTCCTAAATCCTTCAGTAAAACCACAGCGACGTTGGACGTCTTATTCAAAGTGCCTTCGACGTGGAGTCGTTAACTGGCTGTATTACAACGTTTCTACCGGTCGGAAGAAATAAAAACCGCAGACAAAAGCAGCCGGGGCTGAGAATAAACAGGATGAAAGGAGGCGTCTTAGGCGGGAAGCGGTATTCAAATGAAATTTTTCGTTCGTTGCACGGAAGTCGGACTTTAATAAACTTCTCGACTCTTTCCACGTCGCGTTCAAATAACTGTTACCTATTAGCTGTCAAGTGCACGCGTAGGAGTCTAGCGAGCTCCTTGAACACGTGTAACATGGAACGAGATGTTGCAGTGAGCTTGGTGAAACAGAGGATGAAGAAACAACGAAAGACTATCGAAGCAGAAGAACGGCGTTGACTAAAGAAGCAAAAGGAAACGACGATCTCTCTCATATTTTCGGCGTAATCCTGTTTACCTCTTGTCGCGTAAGTCTGCAACCAGTCTTCGTGCTTCGCTGACAGTTTCAAAGTTCCAGTTTCGACCACGAAACCGTGTCCTAAGCGAGGGTAAAAAGCGAGAAAATCAAGACCTAGACGTCTGTCAGTCTCTCCGGGTGTCGCGGTGCACCGGGGGCTCGTCGGTGTCATTAACGATGCGTCCTACAGTGTACCATCGACGTCGATGAACAATGGAGCAGTACGGGCACCGACGCCGTGTTATTCGAGCATCTAGTTATACACGGTTATTCAGAAAATTGTGCTTGAATGAAGTATGCATCGCTGATTAAATAATACCAGCCTGTGCAATAACGATTTCATCAGTTTATTGCGTATCATCGATTGAACCTAACGCTGCCTCTATTAATTTACCGACACTGGGCCCAGAGGGCATCAATATGTAGCCGTCGGTTTGCTAACAGCACGTACAACACCAAATTGCGAAGCCACGATGAATCGACGCGGTTGTGATACACGGCCATCGCAATTTTCCATCTCGAAAATTATGAATTCATTGGGGCACGGAGCGGAGATTGGAACGACGCTTTTTGTTCCGTTATTTCTAAATTCGAATCACGATGTTTCGAGAAGGGTATCGCGTTTGAGGTTGAAATTGACCTTTGTCTCTTTTGGTCTTTTTAAGATTCAGAGGGAATCAATTTATATTAATAATGATAGTTACGAGTTTTTATTCAGTTTTTGTTAAATAAGATGCAGCATTAATCATTTACTATAGTGGCTACCAAAATTTGAACCATTTTCACTAGGCAATGAACTTGGAAGAAGTTTGTAAACATCCGCTAGTCATTTTACCAGTATCTGTGCAAACAGACATTATTTTCACACTAAAATCTGCTTTGATCCAATGTAGCGTTTTATATTT